GCGCTTCATCGAGAGGCATTTTCCCCAGCCATACAGAAACTGCGCCTCACCTCATCGGTGCAACCACACCCGCGCGCACCCTCAAAGTCTGCGAACCGTAGATTACTACGCATCCTTAGCCACCCGACCGTCCTATCACCAGTCTACCCACTCCGCAACATCAGAGCGCGTCTCGACCAGTAGCTGGTTAAGTCATCACCTCGCTAAGGTTAAGCTGAACTGACCCGCAGTTCCTACTCCAACATGCAGCCCCATCACTCCCTGCCAGCGCGCCCGCCGCCCACGACATACTCGGCACCGCCATCAAGGACCAACAACGCCGGCGCACGAGGCCAGGGCAACTCGCCCATGTTTGCTGGCTTCACACCGGCGTCTGCTGCGCCGGCAAACTACGCGCAAGCCCCAGTGAGCGCCCCCTATCAAGCACCCGCATACCCGACCAGCAATGCTTACAACAACTACTCGTACCCAGCCTACGCGACGGGCGCACCTGCTGCGGCCTCATACCCAGCTGCTCCGACCGTGAACCGCGGGTTTGGTGGCACCTATGATCCCGAAGAAGAAGCCCGCATCGCCGAGTGGAACAGCGCATACAATGCTGGTGATGCGAACGCGAAGAAGGGCACCGGCGCGAATATGACCGCTCGACCGGAAGCGGCAACCACCCAGGATACTGAAGCAGGACCAGCAGCCGACGGCAAGCGCAAGACTGTTGTTCGCGAGGGAGGTGGAAAACAGTGGGAGGACGAGACACTACTCGAGTGGAACCCCTTGCACCCGCGACTCTTCATCGGTAACCTGGCGGGTGAAGTCACCGACGATTCACTCCTCAAAGCTTTCGCCAAGTACCCGTCTCTGTCCAAAGCCCGCGTCGTACGAGACAAGAAGTCCACCAAGAGCAGAAGTTACGGTTTCGTGAGCTTCTCAGACACCGACGACTACTTCCGTGCCGCCAAGGAGATGAATGGCAAATACATTGGCAGCCACCCAGTCCTCATCAAGCGAGCCACATCTGAGGTCAAAGCCGTCGTGAAGAAGGACGACAAACACAAGCAGGGGAAGAACAGGAACAACAAGAACAACAAGGACAAGTCTGGAAATGGCAACAACAGCACGCCCGCGGTAGTCGCATCTCCCGCCATGTTCATACCACGTGGTGTTCAGAAGAAGGGCAAGTCGAACGGTCCGAGAGTCTTGGGTTGAGCGACCCTGTGTGGTTGCAGACGATATCAAAATCACAGCACGCGGAATGCTCAGGCATGTACAACTACGTACCCACGTGTACTTCAAACACTCCCAAGGTTAGTGGAGTCACTTCTACTTTGCACTTTCATCTTTGTTTGTTTGGTCTTTGTCTTTTGGTTCATGTTCAAGCGTTAAATGGATTCTCAGCAGTGTCAAAGATGACGAATGCGGTGGATGGGGACGTCACGAAGTACGACGCACATGTGCGCGTCAAGCGTACTTGTGCAGTCGGCGACGTGGTGGACACAAAGGGCCAAGGGCCCCTCGATGTGTCTAGGTTTAAGGAACCGACAAGTGGCGGAAGAGGATCAATCGAACCAAACCTAGACAGCACACATCAACATGCAAACGTGAAGACTGCCGTGACACTTGTGTATCCTTCATCCCTACCGCACTTCCCACCAATCTCCACCTACCCACCCAACCTCTCCACACTCTCCACAACCCCCTCCCCATCCCCCTCCACCCCCAAACAATCCAAAAAATCATAACTCGCATACTCCCTCCTCGGCACCCTCGCCCTCCAACAAAGCCTCGTAGTACAATACCTCATCTTCTCCTTCCACACCCCATCCTCACTCGTCCCCCACCTCGCATGCCCACTGCCCCTCCACGTATAACTAACCGCACTCGCATCATCCCTCTCCAACACACTCCCATCCCTCTTCTTCAGTCCCAACACCCTACACGCCTGTATCTGGTCCTCCAGCCCCGGCCAATCCGGCAACAAATCTTCTCGAGTCTCGAATTCTAGATTGACTTCTTGGCAGGAAGATGGGAGGGTGAGGGATGCGAGTGTGGAGACGAGGCGCTGTCGTTCTTTCAGTTCGGCGAGCAGGGGAGGGAGGAGGTATGCGCATATCGTCCAGGTTATCCTGCGCCAGTGCAGATGGCTGAGTAGGAATTTAGAGAAGTTGGAGGGTTTCAGGGCGACGAGGTTGTCGTGGAGGTGGTAGAGTTGGGCGCCGCGCTGGGAGGTGGTGTGGTGCAGCCAGATGTCGCCGTTGTAAAGCCAGGATGTGGAGCCTAGGTAGCGGAAGTGATGTGTCGCACTTCGTAATGGTATCTGATGCGCTTCCACGTATACTATTCTGCACGTCAGAAGTAATGCGGTATCGATTTTCGTTAGGTAGGTGTGGAGGGGCCGGTAGAGGGGCGAGATGGAGTGCATGTCGATGGGGCGGGTGTGGTCGTGCTGTTGGGAGAGGACGTGTTGGTAGATTGTGAAGCGGATTTCTGCTGGGAGTAGGGTGAAGAAGAGGGATTGCTGTTGGGGGTGCGAGGTCGAGGGGGTTAGGGAGGCGAGGTGTCTACGCGTAGCGCGGGCAAGCCGTTGGCGGGTGTAGCGGTCTTTTGGGAGGGATTTCGGTTGTGGCATTTTGGGTATCCCTTTGTGAGGTTGACGTTGGGGTCTTGGATGTGTTTGTTGTGTAGCTGGTTTGGGTGGTGTATGACGTCGTTTGGCGAGGCGATTGATTGAGATTTTACTGCACAGGTGCTTTTGTTCACCCAAATCCAGTACAAATGTCGTCAAATTCCCCAATACTAGCTCTTAATATTACGAGTGACCGGCACATTGGTGACTGCCAAGGTTGAAGATGTCGAGTGCACGTGTAGCCGGAAGCATCGTGGTGCAGCATGTGAGCTCTGTTCATGGCCCGTGCGTCAGCGTAGAGCCTTCCTCTTCGCCTGCGCTCTTGCCTTACATCCATCACTCATGTAGCGCGAGTGTTTCTCCAACCCAGCGCACGAATTTGACGAAGACATTCTGTTTCTGGGTCGCAGCGATAACGTGAGTATGAAAGCCCCGGGGCTCCTCTGGGTACTGAGGAGCAACGGATCGGAACCGTTGACACATGCCTCGGATGTGCTCATGATCGACTCCCAACCCTTTACCTAGTGTAACATTCGACTCCTCTCAGCTCGGACGCACCCGGAGACATATTGGAGGACATATATCCTTTTGCCTTCTCTTATCAGCAATCCTTGATATCGAAGTTGTTGTGCCGCAATGACTTGCCTGAGGTGTTTAGATAAGAACATTCGGCCCCAGCTCACTTTGCGCAGCAACGAAGTATCACAATTCAATCGTTCCTTGAATCCTCCCTTATGATGCCACCTGTGAGGCCGCCTCACCTGGCAACAATCTCGAACAATTTCAAGTTGTGGACTACTTTCACACCGAGTTACCGGGGCCTCGGATTGTGTAATTACACACAACGTCTAGAAGCACACTCACCGTACGAGGCAAACGTTCATTCAACAGCACTGCGAAATCGCACCCAACCCGGAAAGCATTTAAAACAAAAGCTCTCAAGCTCTTCCAGGCTCAACGGCAACCTCCAGTCTCACTCCAACTCATTACTCACAAATCCCTCAAGTCGTTCCTTCAGTAGTCTCACCAATTCTACCAAAATGGCATCTCAACAAACAGACTCATCCGAGTCGTCCAGCCCCACATCTTCCATTGAGTCAACAACACCACTTGTACCGGCCAGTTCTGCGTCAGACTCATCATCTGCCTTCGACTTCGATGCCGTCCTATCCAAGCACAACGTCACCAGGAGTTGTCTCAACAGTGTCCATAGTGTACTGATTGACATTGCGAAGGATGCAGGAAAGATCATGGTCGCAGCCGAGCATTGCATCATCACGACTGTCCACAAGAACAACACATCTGACGTAGTCACTAAATTCGACAAGCAAATCGAAGCCATGGCCGAACGACGCCTCGCTGAGTCCTTCCCTGATATCAACTTCCTCGGCGAAGAGACGTTCAAGCACGGCACCAAGCTCGCAGACACGCCGACATTCATTGTGGATCCAATCGACGGAACGCTGAACTTCTCCCTCGGCGTGCCTAACTGCGCTATCTCCCTCGCCCTAACGCTCGACAAGAAACCTGTCGTTGGAGTTGTGTTCAACCCTTTCCGCGGAGACATGTACCATGCGATCAAGGGACAAGGCGCCTACCTGACCAAGACCTTCACCAACCGAACGATCAAGCTGCCTGTTCAACCCGTTCCTAAGCCAATGCCTTCGCTCAACTCCTGTCTCGTGGCTGTCGAATGGGGTAACCAGCGCTCTGGTCCTAACTGGGCACTGCGCACCTCGATTCACAACGCTCTTCTCACTTCCAAAGTCGAGGGCGGCGCGATGTGCAAGTCAGTCCGCTCAAACGGATCCGCAGCACTGGACTTCTGCTACGTGGCTCACGGCATGCTCGACGCGTTCTGGGAAGGAGGAGTATACTCTTGGGACGTTGCAGCAGGATGGTGCATCCTGGAAGAGGCGGGCGGTGTGGTCGTGAGCGCTAATCCTGGGAATTGGGACCCAGAGCTTGAAGGTCGTCTTTACTTTGCGGTGCGCAATGCGAAGCGCGAGGATCAGCGTGCTGTTATTCAGGAACTGTGGGGGATGATGGGGGATCGGAAGTTTGTGTTTCCTTGAATGCGGTTTTTGCGAGTTTTCACGGCATGGGGATAGTATGGTGGAGTTCATGCAGCACACGGCCGGGATCTGGTTTGTTTGGCCAGACAGTATAGTATGTCTTTGACTGAACTCATTGATGATAGTATCTAGGTACATAAGAATCCCTTCGATATGCTTTCGCTGCTTTGACCAAACACGAGTGAGCACCAGTGTTGTTGCACGTCTATTGCGGTTGGAATGCCCATTCCTTAATGCACAAAGAGCAGTGATGGCTCCGTCCTGTTTTATGGGACTGATGCCTTCCATACCACCCACAGACCCTCATGTTCAAGGTAGTCACGACAGATGCCAGCTTCTACATTTATCGCGAGACCCAAACAAACTTCCTCCATTACACTCTCACCCCAACACACCTCACTGCATGACTACACATCCACACCGAAGCATCGTTTGCTGTCACAACGTTATTGTATAGCATATCCCTATCATCAACTCACCATACTCTTGATCGGCATCACACACACCACCTCGACCAAGCTGTCTCGCAGCTCAGCATCAGCATAGCTGCATCCTGTGCAGTCCCTGCACACCTCCCCTACCACGCTCGACCTCCAGTCCTTCGCAACCTACATCACCCTCACCACCGCCTTCAACGAGACCCACAATCCATGCAGCACCACACCCACTGAGTACATGCCCTTTGACACCCGACGGTCCAAACCAACCCAACCCAAACGCCACACGCGCACATACTGCCCAAGGATCACTCATAAACGCCGCACCATCTTCGACCAGGGCCACGACCCCAGAACAACTCACTTCACCGGCAGGCCTCTCACTGCAACCGAGAGACTACACGTAGCCCGCCAGCGCCTCCGCAAGTTCGAGAAGACGCAATCCCGCAAAGCACAGCGGAAGACTTGGGTCCGTAACGGAAGAATCAATACGCCAAGCAAGCTCGATAGGATACACCTCAAGCTGAAGAGGATCTTCACCGGGAACTTCTGAGTACCTCCACATCTACTCCTTGACGCTTCGAGTGTGTTTATGAGCACGACTGCAACTTGTGTAACAAGCTCTGTAGCCTCTGGTGTACTCCAAGCCCCCGTACAGGGACAAGGCCGCACACTTTCGAATCACCGACCTCGAGCCACCAATCCACTCGAACCACGCGAGAGGAGAAGGATCATCGAAGAGCGACGACTACGCAAACTCAGACGCCGAGAAGCTAGAGCAGAGAGATTAGCGAACCGCACGTTGAAGAAGGGACTTCGCGCTAAGATAGCCGACTTCTTTGGTATCTTCCGTCTTTGGTAGACGACTGAAACCCACCTTTTATGACCTGTGCCGCCACATCTAGAGGTTGTGGAGTTAGTACAGCGTGCGCACCGTCAGCGCCAGCGATCGCGAGCACACCTGGTGTTGTCTCGTCTGCAAGCACACCAAGTCGCCATATCACCGCAGGGGAGATAGAGGAACTGAAGAAGAAGAAAGAGGAGCGCGCAGAGAAGAAGCAACAACGAAAGGAGGTTCGAGACGAGGCAAAGGCAGATACCAAGGCCAAGCTCCCGGATACGACTAGCAAGAAGGCTAAGCTTCGGCTGTACATCACCTTGCTCAAGCTCAGGTTTCATCTCTAGACTTGAGATCAGTCTGTCGTTTGGACTACTAGATCCCACCTTTCATGTCACACGGGGATTGTGGAACTAGTACACATTGCGGGAGCAGCACACATCACGCATCAAGCACGCCAATTTTCGTATCTGGCTATTCCGGTGGCAATCGCACCAGCAAGAACGGAACGGTAGGGTATAGACTAAAGATCAAGCGTGCGCGAAAGAGGCGACAGCGGAAGGTAGTTCGAGACAAGGCCAAAGCAGACACCAAGGCCAAGGTCCCACACGCAAGTAACAAGAAGACCAAATTTTGGCTCCACGTCAACTTGCTCCGGCTCAAGCTTCACCTCGGAACTTAAGATCAGTATATGGCAGACGGCGGTGATTGTGGTAGCTCCGGCGACTGTGGCGGCGGCGACTCGGGAAGCTATTCCATACCGCAAGGTATCGACGCCCCTCGATTGACACCCGAACAGCAGGCCGCAAAGGAAGCCCAGAGGAAGCGCTACAAAGAGGAGTGCGCGCTTGACAAAGCGCACAGTGAAAAGAGGGCAAAAGAGATCAAGGCGGAGCGCCACGAGGCGACTAAGCTGAAGAGGAAGATCCGCTTGACCATTTCGCTGCTCCGGGTCAAGATTCTTGGCGCGCCTCGAGACGACTGAGCAACGTCGAATTCGCCCCAAGACATTGGATGGAGTCTTCATTCGTCTCGGCAGACTGTGGAACGACATCCTCAGGCGATTGCGGAACGACGTCCGGCGATTGTGGAGCCGACTCGAGAGGCGATAGCGGAGGTGACTGTGGTGCTGATTCAGGGAAAGATTGTGCCGACACGAAAGACCACTCGACTGAACGCGGATACACCTCCACCGACTTCGCCCCTGGAGCCCAGACAGCCACGGCCGGTCCTTCCACCTCGTCCCGGTCGAAGACACAAACCGATACTCGCTCACCAGAAGAGATACAGCAACAACAAGAACAAATACAAGCGGAGGTACAAGCGAGTGTACAAAAGTGGGAGAAGAGGAAGGAGAAGACAAAGAAGTTCTTGAACAACGCCAAAACTGCTGCTGGGAACATCGTCAAAGGCAAGTTTTGAGGCGTCAGCTGTACGGTCAAGACTTGCATACACCTCCACAAGCTCGAGCCCAGGATATACCAATTCTCTGCGCGGATGAGGACCAGTGTACGCAGCAGTCGGAGTTATCGGAGCGTGCGATTCTCCCAAGGCTCCAACGTTGGATCAGAGGCAAACTTCTCTCGCTGGCCGGGGGTGTATGTTCATCCAGGGAACTTCGTACACGCCGCCGACAGACCGACAGACGAAGAAGCGTGGCAGAGGTGCCGCCGCCTTTTCAGAAGACTGAAGGCTCGTGTCCGCAAGAGGAGAGCTGAAGGAAACGACTCGCATGGCAAACGTCGGTAGTTTCGACATTCCTCGCCCTAACGCGGGTGAGCACACCTTCTATCAGAACATCACCTGTTATGTTCACGTCTACGCGCCGACTACCGTGCACCAAAACACATCGAGCGCGGCGCCAGAGACACATGCCGCGGTGGGAAGCTCATGCGAATCGGATCCAACGCTGTCAGTGCCCGAGAACCTAGGCGGAGTCGCTGCCAACCTCCGTCTTATTGACCTTGAGAGGGTGAAGCGAAGACGACCCAGAAAGAGACAAGCCCTTGTTGAGTGGGCAATCAGAAAACTCCAGAGGTTACTCCACAAGGTGACCTAAAGCGGACGGTTGTTGTGAATGCGGTGGCATCGAGACAATGCCGGTAAGACTCGTCGAGCTCGGCGGCCTTTCGGGCGACGTCGAAACGTGTTCGAGTGGAACAAGCGACGCGAGAGATTCTGGCGTTGGCGGCGGCTCCATTTCCTGGCGTTGAAGTATTGGGTGGTTGGCGTCGCGTGTCGCTGGTCCAAAGTCGCTCGGAAGTGAGCACAGACCGCCCGCAACTGTGCATTGGCACCAGAACTGCTGCTCGCCATACTTCACGTCATGTTCGCCCGCAGCACGCGCAACACTCTTGCTACAGCCTCGAAGCAGCCCTACATATGTCATTTATGTCTGCGCCGGACTAGACAGTCTCAATTGGGCGTAGTCTATCTTCCCACGCGTCACACAGCACGATCTCTCCACACTGATGAGACGCAGCCACCACCGACCCAGGATGGCACGGCGTTCCGGAAGCAGCTGAAAGATGCTGCGAAGCAACAAAAGAAAGAGAAGAGCGCCTATTCTGGCGCCTCAAAGTCCTCAAAAAAGGGCAAAGACGTGCGACTAGAGAAGTGGGAGCTAACGGTTGGAATCGAAGTCCATGCCGAACTCAACACCGCGCGGAAGCTTTTCTCTGGTGCTGCGACCTCAGTCAGCGAGGCACCCAACACTCATGTCTCCTTATTTGACGTCGCATTTCCCGGTACTCAGCCTCACTTCCAGAAGGAGACCCTCCTACCTGCCCTCCGCGCCGCTATAGCCTTCCAGTGCGAGATACAGCCCAAGAGCAGCTTCGACCGCAAGCATTACTTCTACCAAGATCAGCCCTCCGGCTACCAGATCACGCAGTACTACGAGCCCTTCGCGACGAACGGCAAGATTACCCTGTACCCTCATGACTTCCCGCCTGGCGCTGCCCCACAATCAGGGCCCGTTGAGATTGGCATCAAGCAGATACAGATGGAGCAGGATACCGCAAAGACTGTGCAGCAACCTCCTTCGACACACCTACTCGACTTCAACCGCGTCTCGCATCCCCTCATCGAGATCATTACACTACCTCAGATCCACGATCCCACAGTCGCTGCTGTCGTCGTTCGCAAAATACAAAACATACTCAAGGCTGTCAATGCCTGCACAACGGGCATGGAGTTGGGCGGACTGCGTGCCGATGTCAACGTATCGGTTCGTCAACGTGAAGGGGAGTCACTCGAAGCTAGCCACTCATACCACGGTGTTACTGGTTTGGGTCAACGGACTGAGATCAAGAACTTGGCGAGCGTCAAGGCTGTCGAAGACGCCATCATCGCAGAACGTGATCGACAAATTGACTTACTCGAGAGTGGAGGTGTTGTTGAGGGCGAGACTCGCGGGTGGACTCTTGGAAGCAAGACGACCAAACGTCTCAGAGGCAAAGAGGGCGAGATCGACTACCGCTATATGCCGGACCCAGACATTGCTCCTGTCATTGTTGGAAACGTAAGCATAGGCGCGACTTTTGGCATGAAAGCTGTGCTAATCTTATCAGGATCTTGTTGAGCACCTCCGGAATACCCTTCCTAAGCTGCCCGATGTGAATGTGGACATGCTCGCCAAGACCTACGGACTCACTACCAAGGATGCCATCACACTTCTCTCCATGGATGATGGTGAACGATTGGAGTACTTTCTCGACGTCATTCGCTGCCTGGTGCACCAGACGGAGCAGCACGAGCAACATGTCCCGATAGAAACCTTGGGCAAGATCACCGGGAACTGGTATGTTCATCTGCTATGCCACGCCTCGTAATCAAACTAACACATGATTAGGGTGTTGATGGAACTCGGCTCTCTCTTCCAAGACGAACCTTGGGACCCCAACCGCGTCCCAGCCGACTATCTCGCCGGTGTCATCTCGCACATTCGTCGCAAAGAGGTCACGTCGCCTTCCGCAAAACGCCTACTTGCCATCAAATTTGAGGGAGATCAGCGCAGCGTATCTGAAGTCGTTCACCAAGAGAACCTTCTCCTGCAACCACTCAGCCAGGAAGAGTACATCAAGCTGGCACAGACTCTACTAGAAGAGAAACCCGACATGGTTCGCGACATCACCGAAAAGGGTCAGGTCAAGAAGGTCGGCTGGTTCGTGGGTCAAATGGTGATGCGTGCTCCAGACGGAAGTGTCGAGCCAGACAAGGCGAAGGAAGTACTGCTGGACTTGCTGGGTGTAGGAGAGAAGGTGTAGTGAAGATGTGGAAGCCCTAATGAATCGTATCTCTAAGATTGGTGCGTATTGCTCTTGTGTCTTGTGCCTTATGTGACTGATGGTTATATGGCTATAAGGGTCCAATGTACGGGTAAGGATGTCAAAACCACTGACGTTTGACAGCCCAACAACATCATCAACCCACCTACTCAACCAGTCTACAAGCAGTGCGAAGCTCGTGTCTCGCTTCCGGAATATGAGTGCCCACAGCGCACGGTGACTGTAATAGAATTCGCGTATTACGATCGTGTCCCAGTTCCAACGGCCGCGGGTGCAACACACTTCTTGTCACCAGCCCATGAACCAGCGCGAACGTACACAATGTCCCCCGACCAAACCGCCACCGCCATCTACCTCTCCCGCTTCCGCGACCGCATCGCTACTATCCGGCAAAACGTAACTGTCGTCTCCCTCAAAGGCAGGTTCACAAACCCCATCCGCCGCAGAGAAGACCTGGGACGCCGGGGCGACAATGCACGAACGGCACTGTCTGCGTCGCTGGGTCTGTACTACACTGGCGTGGATAAGTCAGAAGAGGATTTGAGGGATATGAGTCCCGTGGGGTGGGGGGATGGAGATGGGGATGGGGATGGGGATGAGGATGGAAGGTCTGATAGCATGGAACCCCTACGACATCGAGATCGAGATTTAAGCAGAGAGAACATCAACGACAGGACGTGGGGTGGAGAATGGGAGTTAGATATGGACCGAGAAGAAGAGCGGTTGATGAGGTCGGAACATCGTATCGCGGAGGAGAGAGTGTCTGGTGGGGATGGAGAGGGAGAGCGGGAGATGTATAAGCCGTATCACAGTTTGAATAGTGGGGCGGCGAGGAGGAGGGGGTTGGATGAGGTGAAGAGGATGTATGAGGGTGGGGGGAGGTATGCTACGGTATGTGATTGACTTTTGGGGTGAGGAAGGGGATGAGTGATTGCTGACGGAGATGTGCAGGTTGGGAGGAAGAAGGGGCGTGAGTTGCAGAGTATGCTGCAGAATTTGAGTCCAGAGGAGTGGAATGGGGAAGTGCCAGATGGAGAGGCGCAAGACGAAGAAACGCAAAACGAAGAAACGCAAGACGGAGAAGCGCAAAACGAGGAAGCGCCAGACGAAGAACCACCCCATACCACTGCCCAAGACGAAGAAAACGAAGACGAAGAACCACCCTATCCCGCCAGCCAAGAAAACGAAGACTCCATCTCCCTCCCCTCAAACCCCTACCCCGAAGACGACTTCCTCCTCCCCCTAACCCGACAACCCGCGCGAACCACACCACCGCCCTTCCCCTCCCCTCCCAACCTAACCATCCACCCAAACTCCTCACCGGGACTATCGATTCCATCACCCGGACTATCGATACCATCAAATCCCTACCCAGAAGACGCACCGTCCTCACCAACCTCCTTCTCCCAGCCCCCTCCACCACCACCACCACCCCGACCCACACAATCCCCCTCCCCATACTACCGCGCCGTAACACCGCCTACACCACACGCTCGCTTCCCGATATATCCGAGTGATAGAGCGATAACGCCTATTAGCCCGTTTAATGCGAGTAGGCATTTGATTTCTGCGGAGGGGACGGCGTCGAGCCTGAGTTACCGGATTGAGCATCGACGAGAAAGGAATGATGGTTGCAACAATGATGGTGATGGTGTAGAAGGGGGGTATATGTATGCGCCTAATCATCCTTATCACGGTATGGACGAAGAAGGGATGAGAGAGTATTGGCTTGGGCTTGAGGGGTATCATACGGAGAGTGAGCGCAATTTGAGGCGGAGGGGCGAAGGGAGGGGGCGGAGAAGGACGGTTTCTTCGCCTGTGCAGTATGATCCCGAGAGGGTGTTTGGGTCTGTGGGGGAGAGTTATGAGGGTGCTGGTGATGAAGCACGTGAGGATGAGGTTAGGCGGCGGTATTTGAACGCTTTGACTGGTGAAGAGAGAAGGATGGCGGAGCAGGAAGAAGACGAGGAGTTCGCCATGAGGACTTCCGCTGGAGAAACCAATGCAGGGAGAAAGAACATGATGAACCGGCTCCTAAGCACCTTTACCTGTCGACCCGGAACCGTCACACCACTACACACCACCACCACCCCCAATCCAACCAACACAAACACACCCACCACCCCCGCCATACCCACAACCCCAAAGAAATACACCCTAGCCTACCTCTCCCACAAAATACACCGAACCCAAAAAAGACAAGAAGAAGCCAGACTCCGAGAACGCCTCATGGCCCTCCGCCTAGCCGAACCATCTGCGCCGCGAACCCACCACATCGAAAACATCAACAACCCCACAGAAATCCCCGTTCTCATCCCCAAACCCAAAGCGAAGAGGAGAAAAGACAGCACGCAACCCAATCCACCTTCTCTAGTCCCGAACCTTGAAAGCCGGACGCAGAGTGTTATTGGTCCGCCGGTTGGGCTTTCGCAGATGATTCAGAGGGCGCCGGGGAGTGTTAGGGTGATGACTCCTTTGCCTGTTTCTGTATCTTCGGAGACAGGGTCTTCAGGTGGAGAGAGGGGGGAAGAGGTTCAGCGTGGACCCAGGCAGGAACATTCAGGTTCAAGTCTCTCCGACCGATTGCGGCAAACGCAACTTGAAGATCTTCCTCTGCAACGGGATGCAGCAAAGGAGATACGGGATCTGATGATGGCGCTTGAACGGGATCAAGGTGAGGTGGCTGGCACGCCTGCTCAGTATGCGGGTGGTCATGGGCCGCCGAACGGTGTCGACACAGATGCTACCCCCATTGAACGCCTGGGTGAACTACCAGCTGGTTTCTCACGCCCCGAAATGACCTCCTCATCCGCCCATACACAGCCCAGCCTCTCCCCCCACGAAACTCTTGAACGACACTTCCGCACACAACGCCAAGTCAATGAGCGTTTCATCCGTCCCGTTCGTGCGATAACTTCGCAGTCGAGTAGTCGGACGCTGCCGAGGAGCTATCGGGTTCCGGAGGGGCATGGTGGTGGGAGGGGTGTGCTTAGGGTCACTAACGCGGTTGTGCAGGGAGAGGGGGAGGGAAGTACTGAGGTTGGGGTTGGGGTTGATGGTGGTGAGGATGGTAAGGGTGGTGGTAGTGCGAATAATGTTGTTGAGAATCAGCAAGATGGCACTGAGGACTTGGAGGCGGATGCAGAAGAGCAGAAGGGTGAATCTCTACTCCGATATAATGGTGACGAGGAAGGTGGGAGAGATGTGACAGAGGCTGGATGAGCAATACCCACGTCGGTGCTATGAGACTAGTCACATCGACTCTACCAAGTCGTTGGTATCCACGTCTATTACTACTGCTGCGACTACCAAATTATCAGGTCAGAAGAAAGGCTAAAGTGAAGCAGTGTCTCGCAGAATATCTCTAGTGCTCACATGTTGTAGCTGGCTGCTAATGGGACGTCGGTGTCGAAATAGTAACAGGCGACAACGTCAACTCCCTCATTACACCCCACAAACATCCCCATACCCATGAACATGATCAAAAGCCCTCAGCAGCCCAAACAAATGCGCAACCCCAGCACAAACAACCAAGCAATGCATAATCTGGTGACTCGAACCCCAGACATCAAACCGGTACGGATACCATTTCTCCGGAATCTACGTGTTGTGGTCAGTCCCTCATCTCTTTTCTTTCGGATGCCTGCAAAAGTTCTTCTTAGGCTCAACCAACTTACTCTCATAGCATACAACGCGCCACCCGTAAGATTAAACGTCGTCATCAACGCCATCCAGTCCAAACTCATCCTTTGCATCTGCGTTTCCCAACCAAATTTCAGCAAGCCGTGCACGATGGGGATGATGAACGAAAGACCGAGACCGGCATACATGGCCGCGCGGTAGGGTCGATACTTTGGGCGGCGGAAAGCTGGGTGGAGTGTTGCGTAGACACAGGCTCCTGCTAAGACGGATACGAGCGTGTAGTATGTTATTTGTAGTTGCGGCGTGCAGTAGAAGCCGTAGTAGACGCATGGAATAGTGGAGCCCCACATGAGTATCACTATGCCGAGCTAAAGTACTCAGTGGCTGTGTGGAGTGGTGGGGGGTTGTTTACTTACGTAGTCGAGCTGGTTACCGAAGACGTGGACGCTTTCGCTGTGGTTGTTGACGACGTGGAAACTACGTTGTGTGTCACTTCTTGGGTGTCAGTGGATGGGGGTGTGACAAGACTTACGTTGCGGACAGTGCAAAGCATATAGCGACTCCGAAGAAGAAGGTTGAGAATACAACTACGTCCGCTGTGGTTGCTGTATTGTAGTATCTTGGCTGCAGGGAATAGTAGACGGGGATAGGAAGCGCAAAGAATAATGCTGATCCTATAAGATGCGAGAATATGTTTACTGAAGAAAAGTCAGTTCGCCTCCTGCAGGCATTGTGTATAATCTTACCGGTTTCATTGTGGATACCAAGGATACTTTGCAAGGACTGCTTATAAGATTTTGAGATTGTCCTGTATATCGCCCTTAGCAAACTTATACAAAAAGAATACCAATATCATTACCTATAGCCCGAGAGAATGTACTCATTGTCTCTAACCCCAGTGAGCGCATGTCGATGATAAGTAATCTAATGATGAATATACTGGTACCAACTCGCTACAACATCAGTCAGCTACAGAAACACCATGCAACCAACTATCTTACGTATCTCATCCCACGTCAACAACGAGCCTCGTTGCCTTTTTCCCATTTGATCGCGAGGCTCAGCCTTGCACCCATTAGCCTTGGCATGCACATACGCGGCAGACGCATGCGTACCTGGTTTTTCGCTGTTGAACCGACCTGTTCTGCAGGTCGTCGAGGACGAACACTCATCTTAAAAATGGTAATTCTCTGGGCGTGAAAACATGAGGTGGGATGCAAAGTCGAAGTACAAGCGGCACAGCCCATGTGCATGTGATTTAGCGCAGGAACAGGAAAGCCGATGCACGGATCAATACGACGCAACCTTGGAAGACGCCTGATGTCCACAATGATCCTTTCGCTCCACATTCCTCGAATATCTGCTCCGTCTCCAATCAAATGCGCTCAGTGGCATGTTAGTGCGTTTTTGGTGAGTGTTGTCAGCCGCTCAACAGCGGCTAGATTTGGTATGTACTTAGGTAGAGGGTGGGGGCCGTTTGAGAAGGAACGGCACGCGCCCGTCTCAGGTTCTTGCGGCGCAACGGGAGTACTTGTCGAGGAAACCGTCCGCCCGCTCCTATTCGTTGCGTTGCCCATGGATGCGCATTCCTACATGCAGGATACCATGTTCTCGAGAGTTTTCGGTACACAACTCCATATCTGAATCGGCCCCCATTCGACTTGCCGCTCAATCAGCGAGCCTGCAGTAGGACGGCGCAGCATGGACACTCATCGGGCTTTAGTATAAGCGGCGCGCCCCGTGGTCCTTCACCCTACCTTCTCCGGTCTGGCCTGCGCTTGTCGTCTTGAACTATGGTGTTAGTATCGTGCAGCTTTGCGTTCATCTCCCTCTCCACCCACAGTGTATCCGGCATAAGCACCAGCAACATCAACACTACAGATACCGTAGGCTTCGTAAAAGAGGACAACCAACGAGATACCATCTCCCTGCTCATAAGCTGCTTCGCCACACTCGGTTTATGCGTGTATTCAGCTGTGCACTTGAACGTACCGCGCAAATCCGAAGGAAATTGCCGGGTCCTACTAAGAGAGCTTCAATGGTGCATTCTGGGCCTCTTCGCACCAGAGCTGATGGTGTATACAGCCTGGCGACAACTAGCGTCTGCGCGGCAGCTGTGTTTGGAGATAGAAGAGGCAAAAAGGAAGAAAGAAGATGGGGCGGAAGCTCGCGAAAAAGTATATAGCCAAACCATCCTTGCTTTGGCTCTCGAACTGACAGCTCCCAGACGGCAGTAATATCTGAAGACCATAACCACCACCGTTCCACTCCATGGACTATTCCACACGGTTTCTACGGCACAATGGGCGGTTTCGCACTCGACATCGACGACACCGACACTCGCAGCGCGGTCTTGTTCAATGGTGCGAAACGCCTCACCCTAACAGCCAAAGGAGTCGCATTACTCGCGCAGTGCGGACACATCCCCTACGTCTCGCTCGACGATATAAAAGACAAGAACAAAGCAGACGGCCTTGCCAAGCTTCTCGTGTGCATCCAGGCCGGGTGGATGATTGTCCAGGTCATCAGTCGGACGGCGTCTGGGCTGCCAACTACTTTACTCGAGGTACACGTTGTCGCGCACGTCGTTTGCGCGCTCATCATGTATATTCTCTGGTGGCATAAACCGAGGCAGGTAACATCCCCCACGCTACTCAAAGGAGATTGGCTGCCTTTGGCTGCGTACATGTATCTAGCCAGTCGAATGAGTGGTAAGGTGCCACAGGGCGTGTTTGCGATATTTCGGGTCCGGACGCCAGAACTAGAGAAATTGGCTTACTTTGAAGGAGAAGAGACAAGATCTGAAGATCATGATGCTGTTGATTGCAACAATACAGCGCAACCTCGTGCATCCGGTCATCTCGAGACTCGTCCTAACACTCAGCATTTGGAGCGGGATCCTGAGACGGAAACCGGTTCCGAAATGAGACGCCTTGCCGAAGAAGCTTTGCTGCTATATCCAATTCTACGGACTCGCTTCACCCCAGCTCGCGAAACGGCCATATCGGGTTCTACATACAGCATACCCCACGTCACCGAACTCGTACAGTCTCACGCTCTAGACTGGCCAAACGACGGTCTAATCCGCCGCACCCAATCTCTGATCATGGGCATGGTATTATGGGGAGCTTCATGCGCATACGGTGCAATACACGTTGCAGCGTGGAACTACTTTTTTCCCAGTAAGATAGAGCAGCTCTTCTGGCGATTGAGTTCCGTATGGGTAACCTTTTGTGCGGCGTTTTGGCTGGTCACCAATCTCTTGGCTTATGTTTTCCCGTTCATTGACACGATCTGGGTGGCTTACAATAAGCGGTCGCTTGGCTGGCTCAGCACTGCGATCATTACGCTTTTGTGTATACTTTGTGGCGCAAGTTATATCGTGAGTCGGGCGTACATTGTGGTTGAGGCTTTTGTGAGTATTAGGAATGTGCCAAAAGGCGTGTATGAGACGCCGGCGTGGTCGCAGGTTTTTCCTCATCTGTAGAATTGAGTGGCCTTCTTCAATGTGCGGTCGCATCTAATGTCGGGCAATTCATTCATGTCTGACAGCAGAGATGATCTATATCACGAGACGAAGAAGTGTATCTTGTTGCCAAAGGGTAAAACCGGTAGTGTAGCCAGAGTTTTCAGCAACGCGTTCTCGTTCCCATGCAGTACGTTAACATTGTTAAAACGATGTTAGTGCGGATCGAATCGCTTGTTGAACTCTAGTTTGCGAAGGATGTATGCAGCGTCAAGTGATCTAGATGAGCGGTTCCAGACACGGAAGAGAGCGAGATGATGAAATTATGATTGAGTAACATCTGATTTCTGATTAATACAGACTAATGAGCAAGCCTAACTGCCGGTCAGGCTATTGTGATGAGTTCGCGGCTAGGGTAGTAGCCAGAGGTCACGATCGCAGGCGCATATTCAATGCGACAGGATGTTTCTAGTCGATGTGATTGAATCGACGCCAGCGCTTGAAGCGCAAAATGCGTTGTTTGGACGACAGGCTGTCAGGCCAAAAAGTACGCGGTATACTGGACTCATCAAGTTAGTACCACAGAATTTTCACCTCACAGCACGTAGCGCCATAACATCACGACATCACGGAGGCAGCCATGCGATAGCACAGCGATGCCGAACCACATCCACGCATAGCATGGACGGGATAGCCAAAGGCCAAAGGTTTGTTCAGGAACGGTCATATTGTCTATGAAACATTCCTCAGCCACCACGCTGACGCAAGTCAAACGCAGACCCGTTAGGGTAACTGCGGACTTAGAATCCATCCCAATCATTGCCGTTATGGTATCCTTTTGTATCATTCCGAGACGCCGTTTCATGCACAATCGTGTTGTGTGGGTGATGGTTGATCGTATCGTATCGTGTCGTTCTGGCGCTTATGCGACGAGCTGAACGACACCACCAGCCTCCTTGATCTTCTTCTCAGCCTCAGCGGAGACGTAGCGGGCGCGGACGACGATGGGGACAGCGGGGAGACGACCCTTTCCGAGGACCTTGGAGTAGCCGTAGTCGAGGAGGTTGAGGACGGGGGCGTTGCCGGACTTGTTGGCGAGGTACTCGGCGCGCTT